CTCCGAGGGTTTTGTTATGATGCTCGAGTTCTTGGCAGTCATAGGGTATTTGGATACGGTGAAGACCAACCTTTACCTTGTTGACGAGCTCCGGTCTGTTGATAATGTAGCAATTAAAATCCAAACTGTTTCTTTATTTGTTGGTTAAACTTCTACTAACCACTAGGGCGGAATGCGCAGTCTATTTTACTGCACATTGATTTGGCCTGTCATAATAAATTATCCTAAACTAGAGTTATATTGCAGTAATTAGATGAAGTCGGACCTGCCTAGCGACGTCATATTGTCCGCCTCACTGGACGGGAATGGTGGTCCGCTAGGAACCGTAGTCCGTTCCCCGTCTCATATACAGCATGTAATCCCAATATTACGACTAATCCCAACCTATCCTAATCATATGGGAACCCGGGCTTTCATTTCATTCCATTCCGCGTTTGAAAATGTCCCAAAATCATACCCTAAGTCTGTCTATCCTGCAAAGCTACTTCTCTTTCTAAATTCAGTCCTTCAAATAAACAATTTGAGGTTGATATTTCCTTGTGAACTTTACCTTCATTTCTCTCTGTTAGGTTCTCCGTTTATCATACCATTATTTATTATCCCCCTCCTCCCCCCCTCCCAAACACACACACGCACGCTCACTTTAGCTTAAAACTGTTTTTTTTTTAATAATATTAACTACCCAAAACCACATGGGCTCTGCACAAGGTTTCTCCTCATCTACTCTTTCACAAAAAAAAAAATAAATAAATAATAATAATAATAATAATAAATAAATAAATAAACAATAATAATAATAATAATAATAATAAATAAATAAAAATTGCTCTTGGCAATCTGTCCATATATACCAGTACGCAAGAAATGGCACTCGAGATAAGCAGACCCCCGTTCAAATTTTCAGTAACGTTTAATTTTTAATCTGCTCCCAATGTTACATGCAAAATTTAACCAGATAATTTCTCGATGCAAACTGATTCTTTTTTCCGAAATCATAAACGCAACTACACTAGTAAGTTAATGTACAAAGTATGTCATTGATGAGGTCTTCACAGTTTTTAATAGATTCTATAAAATAGAAAGGCCTTCTGGCGGGCAAGTTCACAGTTTTGACTGTATCGGTGTTTCTTGGAACTTCATTTCATTATCTAGACGGTGGTCGATGCTCTGAATGTGCTATCTTGGCATTTCCTTGTATTATTTTTCTTCGACCGCATTTATTTTGAATATATTCTAATTTAATCTAGTTTAAACTAAATGCTTAAATAATTTATTTCATATTTATGATAGTTGACCTGGTAAAAGATGCGAGATTCATACTTATTACCAATTTTTTTTTCTGTAGGGTAAACTGCGGAGAAATATCCCTTAGTGAAATAAAACTGTGTTCCCTGTAGAGGGTTGTCAAATCCAGTAATTAAACTGTTGTATGCAGACTCTTTCCCCAACATGAAATATTACCACAGGTATTTTCTTTTTACCAGTTGCCCATTCCGTTACCTTTTCACATGGTGCCGTGGGGTTTTTAATGAAAAAAAACAAGAAAACACAAGATATTACACAGTTCAATCTTTTATTACATCATGAACCAAATATGAACAGAATTCTCAATTTGTGATGGTCGTCTGTGTATAAAGATGGCGCCACTAGTCTCGGTTTACTTTTCAGTGGCATCCCCTGACGGCATACTCCTGATGATGTCGGAGTCACCTGAAAATGCAAATTAAATAATTAATTTAAAATGAAAAGAACAATTTTGTCCGTAAATTTTAGTTGGATTGGTTACAAAAAAAAAAAAAAAATTTTTAAGATAAATTTGGTTAAAATAAACCTTTTTATTAAAATAATAATAATAAAGCCAAAAAGCTAACCATAGTCCTATAAAAAAGTTCTGAATGAAATCAATAACATTTTGACTTAAATCTGGTAAAAAATTGACATGTCTCATATTTTGTGAAAACTTTCAGTCATCTGTGTGCTTCTACCAGTTTTACACAAATTAATCACCCTGGTAAACACAAAGTAGCAAGAAACATCCACAATACAATCCCGCCCAGCCCTGTACTCACCTGGGTCAGTGATACTCAGGGTGCAGACCCGGAAGTACTTTCCGCAGGCAGTGCCCAGCTCTATGTTGTTCCCGTTGTAATGATGGACGCCAGTCTTGGCCAACATGGCGTAGTACTCGATCTCGCTCTTCCTGGAACATGTGAAGACTATTGTTAATAGGAGAGCAAATTTAATTAGCTTGGTGTTTTACTGTGCTTCACAAAAGCTGGAAAGAAAATATTATTAATGGGAGTTCAAATTAAATTTTCTTGGTGTTCTACTGTGCTTCTCAAAGACTGAAAAGTAAACATTGTTAATGGGAGCTCAAATGAAATTTGCGTGGTATTATCTCAAAAATTGTAAAGTAAAAATATAATGAGAGCTCAAATTTTGTCTTTTTGTAATTTGGGCATATATTGAATGCATATCTGTAGGCTCTTCTAACTACTGTTTACACAGAAGCCAAACTAAAAGAAATATTTACATAGATTTATTCATTTAGCTGAAATGATGTGTTTACAAGGCCCAGTTTCATTCAAACTCAATACCCTGCCTTTCAATCAATAAGATGTCACATGTTCAAGATCAACTGTATACCATTTGTATTTTGACTCTCCCCGTCTAAAAAAATGTTGTTTTTTTTTTCAGATCACTATTTTTGTTTTTCAATTCTCCATAAGCTAGCTAAATTAACCCAGTAATCTCATTTTCTATGTTAGCATGAACCTTCTGCACTCTGCCAAAGACAAAAACAACATACTGGGGACATATCTGTGGTAAGTAATGTCTATGAAAAACACCCACGTTGGTTAATGGGAACATTAAATGATTTAAAAAAAAAAAAAAAACCCTCAGTGAATCCCTTCTCAGGTGGCATCCAAGGATCCAAGGTATTTACAGACAAGAGCCTAGGTTAAAAAAAAATCTCAGGAACCATCAAAATTAAATTAAAAAACGCGGAATTCCGCTTATGTATTTAGATACACTGAAATACATCACAAACATTCTGCATTCTTACCATAGACCACCATGTGCAGCCTTTGCTGCAGCTAGTGAGCAGGGATCAAAGTCCATGTTAACAACACACTACTCTGTATGTGTGACCTTACCTGATGGCAGTAACCTCATCTTTTAATAGAAAGCAGACACAACATGAAAATTGGGCGACTTCATCTTAACCCCCTTAGCGTGGGACTCCGAAGTCGAGCACATTTTATAGGGTATAACTTGAACTGATATCTGAATCCCATTTGATTATAACTATTAAAATCTTATTAACCAAAATACTTCAATCTTAAAACTGAACTGCAATACGAATTTCTTTAAATACTCACCAGTGTGGACATTATTGCGTTAATGCACGTTAAGAATTTTAAAAGAAGAATTAAGGAGATGCATTCCTTCTGTAAAGTCAAATTTTATACAAAGCAATTGTGTTAGGAGTGACACCAAAATAGACATCTCACCTAAGAGCTGGGGTGTTGTTAGCAATGATGATGAGCTTGGCTTTCCCCTGGCGCAGGGTCTTCAGTGTCTGCTTGTAGCCCAGGACGTACTTGCCGCTCTTCATCACCAGAGCCAGGCGGGAGTTGATGTTCTCCAATGCCTTTTTCTGTAATATACACAAAAAAGATTTATTTAAAACTATATCAGCATGTAACAACTGCCTTAACCTAATCTATACAGTAGAACCATTGCTATATGTAAATTGACCAAACTCTGCAGGGACTCTCGATAAGATCAATCACTTTAAATATATGGCATCCCTCCTCTAGTTTAAAACTTATAAACACAGCTCTGCTGTATTCTACTTAACTTCAGGACACAAATTAATCCACTCGAAGAACTGCAGAGTTGGATCGATTTGGGTAGACCAATGAGGTCTATGGGAATTGGGTCCAGTTTTTACAACCACCTATTTTTTATTAAATATTTGTAGCAGGTATGGGGGCCATACAGCAATGGGACATTAAGAAAGAGGTCCTACAGATGGCGCTGGCCCATAGCCTGTCTTGGAGGTTGATCTCCTTCCCTTGCACAGCCCATACTATCCGCACTGCAGCCTCAGTTTCAGTCCTTCCACCAAGACGTGCAGTTCTAGTAGGACACTGTTGTGCAGGAAGATCAATGCTTATCAGCCTGTCTTTGCACCCCACCTCCTTTTGTTTCCTTTTACATCCCAAATTTCTGAGTTTAATTAAATGAAATAGCTCTTTTCAGATTGACATTTAAGATGAAAATTTAAAGATGCTAAAGGAATATAGATGAAAATTTAATATCACCTTAACTCACAAATACAGGGTGTCTCATATGTACACAACAACACCCCTTTCCCATGTCCACATTTTCTCTAATACTATACATGTAACAAATATTCTACTTCTAAAATTCAATTTGAAGGGATCATATCCATGGCAAATGCTCAGACTAATCAATGTGACAGGAATCTTTCCTCCTGTTTCTACATCCCCCCCCCCCCTCCCCCGAACTCTTTCCTTTTCCCCTTCCCCTTGTTCTCATTTGAACTGGAAACAAAACCGGCCTTTGAGTGAAACCTTACCTAAAACAGTAACTATCCTAGTGACAGACAACAGATAAAACATTCCTAAATGAATGACTTTGAATGGTAAATGTTTGGGTCTGTAAATAAGTTGCTACACATTACAGAACACGTGGGAAAGAAAATGGCGGTGGACAGATTGCTTACCGTCTTCTTTTGGGCGACCATTTTCAGACTTTTATCGGACTAGTTTGATCTGAAATATACAATAAGAGAGTTGAATGCTATGTATTCGTTTGTTATACCCAATATATTTTATTGCGTGCGTTGTACTTTCACATAAATTTACAATAAATCGGAGCTCTTCTAACTCCCTACCTAGTGCCTTTGTCACGTGGTCAAGAAAGGCCGAGTACCCACAATTCACCGCAAAGCTCGCGAGACATTCCGAGATACGATGGCCGGCTTCGAAAAATGTTGAGGTTGATTGACAGAAATTTGGTGTATTAAAAGACTACTGCGTGCAATTTCCAGTCAACGAAGATGTTTATTTACTTGAGCAAGAAGGTAAGGCTACTTTGCAAAAAGAAAGTGGGATTCCAATGCTGATTTTTGGTAGAAATAATTGGTGAAGTTTGGTTGCCAATGAAGCTCTACTTATCTGAAGTAAAGACTCAGCCAGTAAGTTGGCAGTCGGATACACTCTGTAAATATCGACAGGATTAGGATTAGGATCATTTGCTTCACTTAACGGTTGAATGTCAAAGTTTTGTTTCATTTCAGATTTTTTTACTGATATAGTGCATGCTTCATTATTTCATGCACTTTACCTGTGCCAAAAGATTGGTTTTAAAAAACATTCAATTTAAAATAAAATGAAATTTAAAAAAAATTAATAAAAAATAAAGACAGAAAAAGTGACCATTTGTTTCAAATATCAACCACAAAGAATTGTTAATGAGTGTTTATGTGCTATGATTCTGTTTATACTAACAATTACAGTGCTCCCTTTGACTAGAGTAGAGTTACACATGGTCCATTTTTTACAGCACTTTTGCTATGTAATTTCCAGATTGCCATCCCAAACAACACCACTCTGAGGTGTGTAGCCTGGAACAGAGAACAGGGGTACATAGCCTGTGGTGGGGAGAATGGACTGCTTAAAGTATTGAAACTTGAGACTGCCACAGGTAATAAACTATACATATCTTTAACCCCCTCCCCCCCCACACACACAGACACACGCGCGCACACACACACACACTGCCTGAAAATTGTTGAAAATGGGCTGCTTTATTTTAAAACACATTTGAGACTACCATAATGAAGGTTAACAAACTATGTCTTTTACTTTTGTNTGGATCTGCCAGTGTAGGAAGTCTGCTCTAACTCTGTCATTCCCTCCTGTATAGATATACCCAATGTCCAGGAATGCCTCAGTTGCAGTGGCTCTGCTTTTTTTCTTACATCTCTGAGCTTCAGACTGATGCTTGATCCAGCCCCTTCAATTTAAAACCTGTGTGTGTCTTTAAAGAACTGTGACATTCAGCATCAAGTTTGATTGAAATTGACTATGCTTTATTATAAACCTTGAACTAGTGTTGCTTTGTTGACCTTATATCTGCTTGTAGATGCATTGCAGTGGCTAGCTGGGGATTTTCTAATTATAATTCTTTATTTTATGCAGGTAAACTAGAGAGTGAAGTATTATATTTTTTTCCTTGCCATACCCTCTTTATACTGACTAAAACCTACGTTTCAGAGTGGATGCTGGACAGTTTCTTTGTTTTGAAAGAAACCGTGCATGTCTCCTGGTTGTGAACTTAATGGACTAAATGCCTCAAAATAATCCTGTAATTGTGTTCCTTTTTCTATTCCCTACCCTTTTCTTATTTTGTAACTTTTTAAACCTGACATGGCAGAGGAGACTGTCAATACTGTGGTGTGGAATCCATCCTCATTGCGTTTTTGCTCTGTGGACGATGCCAACCTCATTATCGTATGGGTTGAGGAAGAGACAGGTGCATGATGGGAAATATATTTACATGCACTTCACAAATGAGAGGATCACTGCAAAGCTTTTATAGTTTTTAAATTTAATTTAATTTCCAATTTTTGTGCTTCAGTCTTCCTCATTCTACAGTTTTCTTTTGTCCATTTTTCTGTTAATTAATTTATTATTATTATTATTATTATTTTTTTTTTTTTTTTTTTGGGAAGACGAGGGTATTAGAAGGTATTGCCAAAGAAAGCCTCACTTCAGGAATCTTCCTTTTTACAATATTTTGTTTTATTTTTTCATTTCATTTTTTCAAAAATATTTTTCTAAATCATGCATGCTTTGAGAAGACTGATGTTTCCTATCCGTTCTTTGCTTTCATCAGCCAGGTCCCCCGTGTATCTGGTATTGTGGCACCCCAAGCGGACACGCCTCACCTCCGTTGATTATTCCTCTCTCATCATAGTGTGGCGCAAGCACCAAGGTTGCTCTTCTTCTCACACAGGAAAACTTCCTTTTTGTCACTAAGTTTTAGTTTTTATAATCTTGGAACCTGTTCCTTTTTGTTACCTTTTTTTTTCTTTCAATTTTTTTTTTTTTTTTGGTAATATTTGTTTTCATTCACTTTCAGCAGATACATTCTAAGGAGGCCTTGCTAAAAAAATTTTTTTTTTCTTTATATACTAGGACACATATGCCTTAATTTAGACCTATTTTTTTACCTACTCTCCTTGACCTAATTTTTTAACCTACTTTTTTCCAACTAAATTGCACCGCACCCTGTGATAGTCACAGTAATAATTTTATTTTCATTTCCTGTTTGTTGAGTTGAATGCCATTCAGACTGGTTGTTTTTTGAGCCTGACCAGTCAAAATGACTAGTAGACGAAAAGATGTACAGCACAGATCCTTGTGTTGCTTCACTTCTGCTATCATCTCTTTCACCTTAGCACAGTACCCTGTGATCTGCTTATGCTGGCACCCTGTCCCACAGAGGGCGCCACAGGCCATTCTCGTGTCCGCTGGCGCCAACAACGCCATCCAGGCATGGGCGAGGTTGGATCGCAAGGTGGCGAACCGGCGCCTGATGGCAGAACAGGAGAGATTGATTCTTGAACAACCAAATTGTGCAGATGTTTATAAAGTTTTGACGAGTAAACTACATACTTCTGATTGGGTTTCTGAAAGTGAGCAGCCTCAGTTTTTAAAAAAAGTTCTCTTTTGTATTAATTTTGAAGAACTGTATAGCCTCTGGGTAGAACTAAAACTAGAAAAAAGATATTTAAATCCAGAAAATATTCAGAAGAAAAATATTCAGCTGCTATTGCTTGTTTGTTTCAAAAATTTGTACAGCCTAAATTATAGATAACAAAAATATACTTTAAGATGCTGTCACATGATGGTCATGTGATAGTCATGTGACTGTGCCATCATCACAGGGTGCTATGCAGTTTTTCCCACTAACTCTAATTTTCAGTCTCTGTATTTTTAACTCTTTCCTAACTTTTCTTATTTGTTACTTCTTTTTCTGCCTTTTAAACACAGGCTGATAAATTCCTTTTAATGTTCATGGCCACCGCATGTCTATTTTCTTACTTTCTGAGCCTTTGCTAGCCATTTTGCATTGTACACACAACCAATCCAAAGATGAAACATTCTGAACATTTAATGTCAGTTACCTTAAAGAGTAACAGGTTTTTTTTTTCTGTTATTTAATTGAACAAGTGTTTCATGAAATCAAATAATCTTTACTGTTTCATTGTAAACCTATTGTAATTTAAGGGTCAATCAATAATATTTCCTTCTCCCCTTTTTCATCTGTTTTTATCCTTCTCGTAATGAGAAAAAAGTATAATCATTTGGATCCTGCCTCCACTCTCTCAAAATGTATTTTAGGAATAAATATGGTAAGGCGTTTTATGGAAGGAAATGATGCAGAGGGGAAAATACTGTTGATTGGTCCATTATTTAATATTAAATAATTTTTAAGCCCATACTGTAAAATCTACTTTAGTCATCAGAAATGTTTGTCTTGATACATATTTCAAAATATGTACAATTGAAAAGTGCAGTTCTTCACTGAACTATTCAAAGTAATAAAAAAATGTTTACAATTTATTTTTTGAGTAAATAATGTGGTAATAGTTCCCTTTAATAACAGTTTGCTATAAAATAATAAAAATAACTTGTTGATAGAATATTGCCCTGTAGATGTCAGTTTTAACCAAGACAGGGTGGTATTTCAGGTTTGTGGTATGAGGAGATGATCAACAACAGAAACAAGTCTGTGGTGAGGTGTATGAAGTGGAATGCTGATGGACAGAAGATTTGTATTGTGTATGAAGATGGTAAGTCTGCCACACCTGACACAATGTTTGTCACACCCAACACAATATCTGGCACACCCAACACAATGTGTGTTACACCTAATAAAATATCTGTCACACCTAAAACAATGCTTGTCACTGCCAACACAATATCTGACGCACCTAACACAATGTTTGTCACATCTCACACAATGTTTGGAACACCCAATGCAATGTTTGTCAAACCCAACACAATATCTGGCACACCAAACGCAATATATATAACAAACAAGAAAATCTTCACCACGCCTGACATTTTGCCATATTGTCATATTTGATTGTATATTTTTTCTTGTGTAAAGTATGTTTGAATCACACCTCTTTGTTTTCATTTTAATCAGAANTGCATCTGCCAGTGTAGGAAGTCTGCTCTAACTCTGTCATTCCCTCCTGTATAGATATACCCAATGTCCAGGAATGCCTCAGTTGCAGTGGCTCTGCTTTTTTTCTTACATCTCTGAGCTTCAGACTGATGCTTGATCCAGCCTCTTCAATTTAAAACCTGTGTGTGTCTTTAAAGAACTGTGACATTCAGCATCAAGTTTGATTGAAATTGACTATGCTTTATTATAAACCTTGAACTAGTGTTGCTTTGTTGACCTTATATCTGCTTGTAGATGCATTGCAGTGGCTAGCTGGGGATTTTCTAATTATAATTCTTTATTTTATGCAGGTAAACTAGAGAGTGAAGTATAATATTTTTTTCCTTGCCATCCCCTCTTTATACTGACTTAAACCTACGTTTCAGAGTGGATGCTGGACAGTTTCTTTGTTTTGAAAGAAACCGTGCATGTCTCCTTGTTGTGAACTTAATGGACTAAATGCCTCAAAATAATCCTGTAATTGTGTTCCTTTTTCTATTCCCTACCCTTTTCTTATTTTTGTAACTTTTTTAACCTGACATGGCAGAGGAGACTGTCAATACTGTGGTGTGGAATCCATCCTCACTGCGTTTTTGCTCTGTGGACGATGCCAACCTCATTATTGTATGGGTGGAGGAAGAGACAGGTGCATGACGGAAAATGTTTTTTTCATGCACTTCACACATGAGAGGATCACCGTATAGCTTTTGGCATATTTGAAATTTATTTTATTTCCATTTTTTTGTGCTTTGGTCTTAGTTATCATACAATTTATTTTTATCATTTTTTTCTACTAATTTATTTTATGATTTTTTATATTTATTTTTTTTTTTGGGGGGGGAGGGTATTAGAGGGGATTGCCAAAGAAAGCTTCACTTTAGAGATCTTCCTTTTGTGCAGTAATTTATTTCATTTTATTTTTTTTTTTTTCTTTTAAAAAATATTTTTCTAAATCATGCATGCATTGAGTGGACTGATGTTTCCTATTGGTTCTCTGCTTTCATCAGCCAGGTCCCCCGTGTATCTGGTATTGTGGCACCCCAAGCGGACACGCCTCACCTCCGTTGATTATTCCTCTCTCATCATAGTGTGGCGCAAGCACCAAGGTTGCTCTTCTTCTCACACAGGAAAACTTCCTTTTTGTCACTAAGTTTTAGTTTTTATAATCTTGGAACCTGTTCCTTTTTGTTACATCTTTTTTCTTTTTTTTTTTTTTCATTCACTTTCAGCAGATACATTCTAAGGAGGCCTTGCTAAAAAATCTTTCATTTTTTTTTTAATTATTATTATTATACTAGGACACATATGCCTTTATACTTATTTTTTGACCTACTTTTCTTGACCTTATTTTTTTAACCTACTTTTTTCCAACTAAATTGCTCAGCACCCTGTGATGAATTCATTCACAGTCATAATTTTATTTTCATTTCCTATTTCTTGAGTTGAATGCCATTCAGACTGGTTGTTTATCAGACTGACCAGTCAAAATGACTAGTAGACGAAAAGATGTACAGCACAGATCCTTGTGTTGCTTCACTTCTGCTATCATCTCTTTCACCTCAGCACAGTACCCTGTGATCTGCTTATGCTGGCACCCTGTCCCACAGAGGGCGCCACAAGCCATTCTCGTGTCCGCTGATGCCAACAACGCCATCCAGGCCTGGGCGAGATTGGATCGCAAGCAGGCGAACCGGCGCCTGATGGCGGAACAGGAGAGATTAATTCTCGAACAACCAAATTGTGCGGATGTTTATAAAGTTTTGATGAGTAAACTTCACACTTCTGATTGGGTTTCTGAAAGTGAGCAGCCTCAGTTTTAAAAAAAGTTCTCTTTTGTATTAATTTTGAAGAACTGTATAGCCTCTGGGTTGAACTAAAACTAGAAAAAAGATATTTAAATCCAGAAAATGTTCAGAAGAAAAATATTCAGCTGCTATTGCTTGTTTGTTTCAAAAATGTGTTTACCCTAAATCATAGATAATAAAACTATACTTTAAGATGCTGTCACATGATGGTCATGTGATAGTCATGTTACTGTGCCATCATCACAGGGTGCTATGCAGTTTTTCCCACTAACTCCGATTTTCAGTCTCTGTATTTTTAACTCTTTCCTAACTTTTCTTATTTGTTACTTCTTTTTCTGCCTTTTAAACACAGGCTTTTAATGTTCATGGCCACTACATGTCTATTTTCTTACTTTTTAAGCCTTTGCTAGCTATTTTGCATTGCACATACGACTAATTCAAAGATCAATTATTCTGAACATTTAATGTCAGCTACCTGAAAGAGTAACAGGTTTCTTTTTTTCTGTTATTTAATTGAACAAGTGTTACATAAAATCAAATAATCTTAACTATTTCATTGTAAACGTGTTGTAATTAAAGGGTCAATTAACAGTATTACCTTCTCCTTTTTTTCATCTATTTTTATCCTTCTCATTATGAGAAAAAGTAAATCATTTGGGTCTTGCCTCCACTCTCTCAAAGTTTATTTTAGGAATAAATATAGCAAGGCGTTTTATTGAGGAAAATGATGATGCAGAGGGGAAAATACTGTTGTTTGGTTCAGTATTAAATATTAAACTATTTTTAGGTCATATATACTGTAAAATCTGCTTTAGTCATCAGAAATGTTTGTCTTGATACATTATTCAAAATACGTACAATTGAAAAGTGCAGATCTTCACTGAACCATTCGTTAACGTAATAAAATTTTTTTACAATTTAATTTTTTGAATAAATGATGTGGTAATTTCTTTTAATAATGTTTCTTTTAATAATGGTGTGCTATAAAATAATAGAAAGAATAATCTTGAAGTTTACTTGTTGATAATATATTTTCCTGTAGATGTCAGTTTTAACCAAGACAGGCTGCATATTTCAGGTTTGTGGTATGAGGAGATGATCAACAATAGAAACAAGTCTGTGGTGAGGTGTATGAAGTGGAATGCTGATGGACAGAAGATTTGTATTGTGTATGAAGATGGTAAGTCTGCCACACCTAACACAATGTTTGTCACACCCAACACAATATCTGGCATACCCAACACAATGTCTGTTACACCTAATTAAATGTCTGCTGCGACTAACACAATGTTTGTCACACCCAACACAACGTCTGTTACACCTAATTAAGTGTCTGCTGCACCTAACACAATGCTTGTCACACCCAACACAATGTCTTTTACACCTAATAAAATATCTGTCTTTCCTGAAGCAATGTTTGTCACATCTAACACACTGTTTGGCACACCCAATGCAATGTCTGTCAAACCCAACACAATATCTGGCACACCCAACAAGGTATATCACAAACAGCAAAATCTTCACCGCACATGACATTTTGTCATATTGTCATATTTGATTGTATATTTTTTCTTGTGTAAAGTATGTTTGAATCAGACCTCTTTGTTTTCATTTTAATCAGAACTGTGTACTTTTTTACTATTTATAATCGAATAGTTCTTAACAGCTGGTGCTACACAAACTCTTAATTATTTTGAAATTTTTTTACTTATTTATGTATATTTCTGAAAATTAAACATACTTTGTTTGCAATAGATGTATTTAACAATTTATAAATTCTTATTCCCCCAGGAGCCGTTATAGTGGGCTCTGTTGATGGTAACAGGATTTGGGGCAAGGAGCTGAAATTACAGTTGGCTTATGTGGAGGTAAGAGATGTTCTTTACTATTCTTTTTCTTCTTCTTATTTTTTTAATTGATTTATTTATATTTTTTGACACAGGCTACTGCAGATGTGGTTGCTAAACAAGGGGTTATCATTGTTTAAGTGCTAGGGTTTTATTATTTAGTTTTTGTTTTTGAAAACAATGCACATGCCATTTTACTTTTCATTGAGTTTTGCTCAAGTTATATGAGTCACATTGCAGTTAGTAGTCTCAAAAGGTAGAGATAAATGCTCTGTTTGTAGTGGTCATTTTGCAGCTTGAATGAGAGTTATTATTATTATTATTATTATTATTATTATTATTATTATTATTATTTCAGTGGTCTCCAGATGGTAAGATCCTGTTGTTTGGGATGACAAATGGAGAAATACAAGTGTTTGACAACACAGGAAACTTCATTGTAAGTGAGATCTATTAAATTTCCACATAAAAAATATATGTAGAGTTTAAGCCTCATACAGTTGATTGTTTACTTTGTAGCCTATTGTACAATTACACTGCTAGTGTTTTTATTTTCTTTATTGCTCTCTTAAGCACTTTAAACACCATCACAGTTGCTTTCTTAACATAATTATTACAGTTTGTTAAATATTTATTATTTTTATAATTATAATGATTATTATTATTATCTATCCACCAGTCCAAGCTGACAGTATTCTGTCTGTCCAACGTGACGGGTGCTGTTCACATAGCTGGTATAGAGTGGTATAATGGAGAGTATGGGTTTGTGGAGCCAAACTGTCCCTGCCTGGCCATTGTCTACGATAATGGACGGTGCCAGATTATGAGGAATGAGTCTGATGAAAGTAAGCAACTACTATGTATTTGCCATGTCAAATATAGAACATGCCAAATTAAATTAGGGAGAGGTATTGCAAGGTTTTTCCTTGTTTATGTTGAGAAAGGTAATATTACAACTACACACCACTAAGTAATCAGAGTGAGTCTAAAAAAGTTGCAGCAGAAACCTTCTAGCATTTGATTAATTATAACCACAGTGGGTTATCTATGGAATATATAAAATGTAACAAAATATGTTCCTTTATTTAAGCATCCTAAAAGCAACTTTGATTCACTCCAATGTGTCGATAGAACCATGGCACTCCACGGTGCTAAAAGGTACATTTTATTTTCATTACTTTCAGACCCAATCCTGATAGATACAGGGATGCAGGTTGCTAAGTCACAGTGGAACCACACTGGGTCTGTCCTGGCAGTGGCAGGGTCACAGAGAGCAGCTTCTGCTGACAAAGACGTCAATGTTGTGCAGTTTTATACTCCCTTTGGAGAGGTATGTAGACCAGAATTTTCTGCATTTGTTGTTTCTTGTATTTTTATTATTTTTATTTTTAGTATTATTATTGTTTTTATTTTTATTTTTTTTCATTACTATTATTAATTGTCATTTGTAAATTACCAGTACAAAATAAAAAAGGATATTTCAAAATAAGATTTCAGCCCTTATATCATTGACCTCATCTCTTTCTCTCTCTTAGCACCTACGGACATTGAAGGTTCCAGGAAAGCAGATGTTTTCGTGTTCCTGGGAGGGAGGAAGTCTGAGGATTGCTCTGGCCATTGATTCCTTTATTTACTTCGCCAATATTAGACCGGATTATAAGGTAGGCATTGGACGTAGCATAACTACATGTACACAGTCTGTGCCTTAGGGACTTTTCACAATGAGTTAGGTGGCACAAGCCAGTGGGCATTATCTGTATGGGATTTTAGATGAATGCCATCAGATTAACAAGCCTGCTTTTGTTTCCTTGTTTAATCACCAGCTTCTCTGTATTCTACTCAATGTCAGGAGGAGGTGTGTTAGTCTGATTGGGCTCAGTGAGAGTCCCTGTGGATTAGTGCACATTATCTTGGTTCACAAAACTCATTCTGAACAGCCCCTAAGACTGTCAACTAGTATTCTACATGTCCTTCAGGCCCCAGGGGTTTCAGAATCCACTGGCTCTGAGCAGAAATAGGTTCCAGCAACCGAACAAGTTTACAAGTTTACTGACTGGATTCAATTTTATTATGTTTTGTTACATATTACTAGTTGGTCCATTTCATGTTATATATTCCAGTGGGGTTATTGCTCTAACACAGTAGTGTATACCTTCACTAAGCCAGAGAGAGCAGAGCACTGTGTTATCTTCTGGGACACAAAGAATAATGAGGTGAGTCAGCTCTTATAGTTTTCATTATTTTAAAAGAAAAAAAATTGTTATCAGTTGCCTTGTCATAATATGTTTATTAGATTTATTCTAAGATTTAAATATTTGAATGATTCACATTCCCTGTTGCCAGGGATATGGGAAGTGCATGATTCACATTCCGTTCTACTTCTTGTTGCCAAGGATATGTGAAGTGGATGATTCACATTTTGCTCTGCTTTTTCTTTCCAGAGATATGTGAAATATGTGAAGAATCTCCTGTCAATCTCTGCTTGTGGTGACTATTGTTGCCTGGCAACAAGGGCAGATGATGTCAGTGGTCAGGTTAGTGGAAAAGTAATCATGTGCTCGTGCATGAGTGCACGTGCACACAAACACATGTTTTAAATTAGATAAATAACACAACAGTTTTTAGAATGAGGAGCGATTTCTTTAACTTTTAGAACTGTTACAGTGGATGATCATTCTTCAGTATGAGTAACTGATAAATATAAGTTTTAACATTTCTGAGTTCGGAATTTTAAAAAGCAACATAATTTGGTTCCTGCCTACTCGTTATATAATATGAAATTGTCACAAAATATGACCTGAAAAAATTTTAATCCTTATTGAGGAATTCTGAATTTTGTATCTAACCTGAGAAAATACAGCATCGTAGCTCAGTTTCAAAAATATATATGAAAATCGAAATCCTTTCATATTTTATTCCAGTATGTCCTAGTACTGTGCAACTCCATTGGGACCCCCCTGGACTCCAAGTACATAGAACTAGAGCCTGGCTACGTCACCATGACCAAGACCCACATCGTGGCAGCGTCCAAGGAGGCGTTTTACACCTGGCAGTACAAGACAACCCAGAAACTGACCACCATGGACCTGTCTGGGAAAAGACGGGGAGGGACTGAGAAGTAAGAAAAAAGATTTGATTTGTATTAGATTTTTAATCCATTGTGGAATTTTGATAACATACCTGTTTATCAAATGGCGTTTTTATTACACTGTCATTTCCAGGTTGTAACATACATTATATCAGTAAGGCCAAAAAATTGATAGATAGGTTTAAGAATGGTGACTCTCTGTAAACAGGGTTGGTAGACAAAATTTATTTTTGGTTATTAAATATATTTGGCAAATATTATTATTTTTTCGGGGGAGAGGGTGGGTAATTTTTCCCACTTATCAATGCATTTTTTCCACTTACAAAATTTCAGGTTATACCACATATAATACATTGTTATATTATTTCCAGGTTATACCATGTGGATGATGTACCCTCAGGAGCTGGAGGTGATAACATTGACTTTAGCAAAGCTTTCCAGGTAAGCAGAGTAGTCTAATGGCATGATTTTATCAAGTTATTTTATCTTGAATTTAAGTCAGAGTTATGATATTCTGGCAGATAAAATTTCGCATGAGAAGAGCAAATAAAATAGTGAATAAATAGGGTACTAGATGAATAAAATAAATAAATAAATAAATTAGATAAAGTTATTAATTTTGATTTTGAAAGAGAGTAATCAATATTTCATAATATCCCATTCCAGCCCACACAAGACCCCATCTGCTGCATCAGTGCCTCAGACAAAATGCTGGTCATTGTAAGTAGATATTGTCCTGTTGTTGTTATTACACTCAATAGTGACAAGTAAATTTAGTAAGGTCAAATAACTTTATTTATGGGGCAATCATTGTTAAAATATCTTTAGCTAAGAGACACATTTTGCAAGTGAACTTAGTGTATTCAGCTGTCTGATTTTTGACAGTCTTAGCTTAGCCCAGGAAATTGTGAGGGGCAATTTTTGAGAAGTAGGACCCAGTGGTATGTATTGTTTGGTATTTACAGATATTAATATTCTCTTCCTAGGGTCGCGAATCTGGTACCTTGAACAGATACACAATGCCACTGGTGGCGCTGTCAAACAAACATGTCCTCAACTGTCGTCCTCACCAGATGGCACTGAACTGCAACTCTACGTAAGTAGACAGTGGGACAAGGTGTCTCAGACTAAAAAGAAAAGAAAAAAAAGCTTTGTTAAATATTGTTCTTAATTAGAGGGTTAAAAAGATGATTTAATTTGGGATAGAAGAAATGATCCATTTGAATTAGTACTCTCCCCCTCCAGTTGCAGAAACATATTTATTCTTGTGTTATATTTTCTCTCAAAAACATAAACATATCTGTCAATTTGCTTAAATGAAATCAATGAAGTAATTACCATATTTCAAGACAATTTTAATCATTTCAGTCTTCATGACTTCACTTGTCAGTATTTGCATCTTAGCACAGATACTATATTTGTGATGAAAATGTGTATTCAATAGTTTAAGTTGCTCACATAAGAATTTCTTGTTTTCCATCCAGTCGCCTGGCCATTATCGATATTTCTGGTGTGATGACCTTTTTTGACCTTGATGCCAAGGTCACAGATGCCAACGGACAGGAAGTTGTGGGAGAGCACCTGAAGTTTGAGAGGAAAGACGTCTGGGATATGAAATGGGCTGAAGTATAGACTTTATATAGATTTTTTTGCTGACTTTTTTGTTTAACCATTTATAAGAACATTAACTTAAAAATTGATTCATTTATTCGTTTTTTCATGCCTTTTAATGGAAAAGTCTTATTATTTTGAGAAGTTGCTAAACAGACTTCTCTTAGTTCATATCTTATATAAAGTTATTATTCAGCTGCACGTTTTTTCCTTTTTTAAGACTTTGAAGATGAAATGGCAAAAAGGTTATTTACTTTATTTATTTATTTATCAGGACAACAGTGAGCTGATAGCTATGATGGAGAAAACCAGGATGTACATCTTCAGAAATCTGGACCCAGAGGTGGGTAGATTGTTATTATCATTTTATTTTTTAAAACTTTTTTTACACTTTATAATGCTTTCATGCTTCATTTAGAACTGTGTTATTTAATCAGAAATGGTACAATTCATCATACCCAAGTGCAAAGACTAGTTGAGCAATAATTTATGAGTAGAAAAACATTATTTCTTTTTTGGCAGAAAATAGATTCTACAGGAAAATCCCGTATTGTTTACCTGAAGATATCTCTGACTTATTCATGCCCCTGTTTGTTAATTTAAGGAGCCCGTATTAAGCAGTGGCTACATCGCCAAGTTCAATGACCTTGAGATCACCTCTGTGTTGTTGGACGAGATCATGAAGGATCCAGAAAATCCGACTGCGGATAATATACTGCACCTCGAAATCAAGGTAGGCAAGCCACGTAGTAGAAAGTTATGTTTGTAAATGTATTGATATTTTATTTTCTTTTTGGGGGGTTATTTACTCATTATATTTTAAAATGCCCTGATGACCAACAGTTGTATCAGTGATTCAAAAGATATTATTAAGCAGACGTAATTTATTTCTTTGTGTATTTTGAATAATCATCTTTACCTACTTTGGCTGTTAAATTTGTAATTGAATATATTTAGCCCATGATGAATAGTGAAATGTGATTTATTTGCTGCTGATGGAAAGATATAATTTTATTGCTCAGTCTCCCTTAAGGCTGATCTAGGAAGTAAATCATTATATGAAGCTCTATTTTTTTCTTTCTTTCCCTCTTCAGTCATTAAGAGACAGCAGAGATCTGTTGGAGAAAGTTGGTATTGAAGATGCCCAGCAGTTCATAGAGGACAATCCACACCCCAGACTGTGGTGAGTAGTGCATGTTATTTGTCCACACATACTTGCACAGGTGCACACATGCAGACACATACAAATACACACATGGGTATACATACACAAACACTCAGTTTTACATGTGGAATAAACATAATCACAAAAACAAGGCATGTGGTATGCTTGTTCACACACTCACATGTAGGAATGCACACGTGTACACAAACATACTCACACTCACACATGTACACAAACATACTCACACTCACACATGCACTTTATCAGTATATTTTATTCCCAGTGTTTATATGTTGTAAATGACATGACAGTCAAAAGACCTGAACTTACGGTAATGTGCCATGAATTTCGAACAGTAGAAAATAATTAAATTTGGGAAAAGATCGTTCTGGCCGAAATTCATGAAATGGAGGTGCTCAGAACTTCTGAAAGTTCGAATTTCATGGAATTCTGTCAATTTTGACCGGAAGTTGTCTGTTCGTCGCTAGGCCTTCTGTTATCTTCTCCCGACGATCTATTTAGATTTACCATAATGTATGATGTGTGAGTGTCGGTTATTGCGTCATCTCGCCGTTCGCCGGTCGGTGTCTCCGACGCATACGTAGCCTTCCCTGCAGAAGCCGGCCTCGGCACTACGGCCTCTCCTCCGTGCGGGGAGGCCACTACGACCGCAGATCGGTACGTGCGGCGCACAGGTAGCCTTCGCCACGGCAGCCGAACTGTGTATTACGGTCTCTCTCTGTCGTGCGCTGCGACCAAGATGACCGCTGATTGTTGTCTGCGATCAAATATACTAGGTTTTTTTTTTTGGGGGGGGGNAGGTAGGCTAGGGCAACATTGCCGACTGTTAGATCTTTATAAGCGCGTGAATAGCCCGGTGGCCGATTTTAAGGTGTACGAAATTCACGAAATCAAGATCGCGCAAAATTGCTTACTGGCCGAAATTCATGGTCCAGAAAAAACTCCAGACGGCCGATTTTAAGATCGTTCGAAATTCAAGAGCCGTTCGAAATTCATGGCACTTTACCGTAGTAACTTGGTTGCACACTCTTTAGCTTCATTTCATAACATTTAGAAGTTCATTAAAAAACTATGATATTGACTTTGCATACCTCATCAACTTTTAATACAGTTTGCATTTTCTTCATTTAGGCGTCTGTTGGGAGAGACAGCTTTGGAGCAGCTGAACCTGAAAGTAGCAGACAGTGCATTTGTGAGGTGTAAAGATTTTCATGGGATAGAATTCATCAAGAGACTGGGGAATTTACAGGTGGGGCTTTAAAAATTTGAGTTAATAAAATAATAAATAATCAGGAAAATATTTTTTCCATACATGATTTGAATAATTTACTGACCAATTTTGAAATGTTTTAAGACAAAAAGCTTAAGAGATTTACAAAATTACACTCACTTATCTTGATTCAGAATAACTTAACTTCATTTCACATTGACCAACGACTTCCATTTTAAATATTTTGTTTAAAGCAGTTTTTCAGCATGCTTTATGTACACATTGTATTAATATCTTTTTTAGGTTTTTTATACATAATAAAATTTTCTATCCTGTTATTTCCAAATTTAGCATCAAAATGAATTTTATTATTATTATTATTATTATTATTATTATTATTTGAATACACAGAATGAGACAATGAAGCAGGCAGAAGTAGCAGCATACTTCAGAAGGTTTGACGAGGCAGAGAGGCTTTACATGGAGATGGACAGAAGGTAGGGAATATCTGAGTTTTAGAACCAGCATTGGCCATCCAGCTGCTTTATTTTCAAACCACAGCACTGTATATTACCATTAATCGGACTCTTGTGTTAATAAAAGCTTTATTTTTTGATTTCTCCAAATATAACAGCTTCATCATTTTCAAATAACAATACATGCTCGTTTGCGGCTTCTGAACTTTTTTAAGTTTTGATTGAAGTTTGCTGGCAAAAATTTACTAAAAAACGAAATTATTTATTCAAATCTTAATCCATCGATATAAATTTGCCCACAGGCAATCATAAGGAAACAAATGCACCAGTTTCTGATGTCTTATAATTTTTCATTGCACAGGGACTTGGCCATAGCCCTGAGAAAGAAGCTTGGTGATTGGTTCAGGGTGGTCCAGTTACTGAAAACTGGGTCAGGAGGAGATGATGTGCAACTGGAGGAGGCATGGAATGCTATAGGGGACTACTATGCTGACAGGCAAAAATGGTAGGCATTGAGATAGAGAGGGGGGAAGGAGAGGAAGAAAAAGAGACAAAGACAGGTTTTCCTAACACAAGGGAGAGAATCTGAAGCATCCAATGAATGCATGACTTTGTCATCAGGCAGTTTTGACACCTTTGATGTATAATGGCCATGTCATACACCTCATATAAAAACACCTGTATAAAAATAGTAAAATAAATTATGATAATATTATAATGTGAATATGTTGATCACTTCCCAGGCAGCAGGCGGTGACCTACTACGTCCAGGGCAGGAACCAGGAGCGTCTGGCAGAGTGTTACTATATGCTGGAAGACTACCAGGGTCTGGAGAAGATGGTACAGTTCTTACCTGAGAACCATAAACTACTGCCTGTAAGTAGACATTAATGTTTATATAATATTATTGATAACTAGAAAAAGATATAGTGGTAAAATTAATAATTATATTGGTAGGGAGGAGGATACATATGATAGTGATCATTGTTATAGTAATAAGAATTAATAAAATTATATGCAGTTATAAAAGTTATGACACGTCATTGAATCAGAATTTAAAAATTTGGAAGTGATTACCTTGTTAAGTGATTTACTGAAACATTTTGCAGCAAACTTGGGTTTGGTTCTTGCAGGGGTGATAAACATCCTTGAGAATTCACTTTTGAATCAGTATGATTATTATTTTTGTATATGTATATTTGTATATGTATATTGTATATTTTTGTATATATTATATATGATTATAGCTGCATATTTTGTCCACAAAAAGTCCCACACTTCAAAACATACAATTATTATTATTATTATTATTATTACTATTATTATTATTATTATTATTATTATTCCTGAAGGAGATAGCAGGCATGTTTGTCACAGTTGGGATGTGTGAACAGGGAGTGGAGGCATATATAAAGGTAAGAATACTGATCATTGGTTTTAATAGCATCTGTACTTATAATACTACTATTAATAATAATATTAATAATAATAGTATCATTATTATGATTAGAGTATCTGTGAAAATGATATATTAATAATGGTAAAAATCATGTTTGCCTCTGGAGTGGCAGTTTTATGGTTGGCTACTGGGTCATACGAGGCCTTCAGAGATAATAATGATACTTTTTTTAATGATATTGCTGAAATAATAATAATTATTATTGTTAAGAAATTACACTGATAATGGTATTACATGATAACAATACATTGGTATTGATAAAATGGATAGCAATAATGTTAATAATAATCATTAGTAAGTACATGTAGTATTGACATCCATGCATAGTGCAACTTTACAGCTTATAAGACATGTATATATATAACTTAAATTATTTCATCCTCTTAACTTCATTTATTCATAGTGTAACCGTGTAAAGCAGGCCATAGACGCCTGTGTTCACCTCAACCAGTGGAATCAAGCCATCGACCTGGCCAAACAGCACAACATCAAAGAGATTGACTCCCTGCTGGCAAAATACGCTCAGCACCTGCTGGAGAAAAAGAAAGAACTCAGCGCCATTGAACTGTATAGAAAGGCCAGCCATTATCTAGAGGGCGCCAAGTTGTTGTTTAAGGTAAGCTCAGTGCAATTCTTATTTTCAGTTATTATTAACTTTGCCTTTATGTTAGTTGGTTTGTTAGTTAACTGCTCTACTCAAAATGTCATGGATGACTTTTCAGTTGATAATTTTTTTAGGATAGGTCAGAAATGGGCTTATATAGGATTGGTTAAATTTTGGTACTTATCCATTAAATAAATAGATAAATTTATCAGTTCTCATTATATATTAATATATAATGAGAACTGACCTTTTTTTGGCACTGTCTGATTGCTTTAATTTCTGACTTAAAAGAAAATTAATGTCACACTTTTCTTGTTATTTGTGGAACATCAACATATTACACACAGCACTTACACCGGTTAAGCACAATTTTGAAGAACTCTTCATTATTGTTTTTATTTTTAATAACTTTCCTTACTGATTCTAATTTCTTTCATTTCTCAGGTGGCTGACGAGGAAGCTCAGAAAGGCAGCAAACCACTGCGGATCAAGAAGCTGTATGTTCTAGCCGCTCTTCTTATCGAGCAGTACCACGAACACGTGAAGTCCACCTCTAAGTCCAAGGCTAAAGGAAAGTCCAGAGAGGTATGGGACCATGTAAATTATTTGGGATTTTGGTGAAATAAGTTTTTCTGTGACTCTTGTGTAAGGATGGTAAAAAGTCCACTGTTTTTAAAGAGACTTAATGTATTATCCCATTATTCTGAGTGTTTCTACCCTTCATTGAAATATTATGACTCATTGGCAGATATGTTTAATTTTCATATGTAATAATTATTAATACGAGCTGGAATTTTTTTCTCATCATTAAGCTATGGCCATCTCGGCTGCAGGCTTTCTGAAGACTGTTCTGACAAGACATTAAAATCATATTAGGATCGTGTGTGTAATTTCTCTAGAAATAATGTTACATGTGGAAACCGCTATTATAGAACTCTGACAGTGACTGCTATTTTGACTATTTCAGGCTACCTCTGCCCTAGCAGGACTTCTTGAGGAAGACTCAGCCTCTATATCTGACACAAAGCTTATAGACAATGCATGGAGGGGAGCAGAGGCATACCACTTCTATCTCCTGGCACAGAGACAGCTCTATGAAGGTAGGGAACCTTGCTCTGGAGGCCCTTTGGGATTATTATATTTATTTACTTATTTATTATTTCAACTTTTTTTATTTAACTATTTAATTTAATTAAGTTTATTTTAAATTATTCATTATTTGTTTTGACTAATAGCTGGAAATTTGATTGTAAAAATTTTGAACCAAATTATTATTTTTTATTTAAACTAAATATATTTCAATTAGAATAATAATTTTGACAATGTCACATTTTCATAAGCCAGCAAAAGTGAGGTTTTTTCTAAAGTTAAACAATTTACACATTTTACTATAACTATTTTAACTTTATATTTTAGGTTATGTGGACGCTGCCATGAACACAGCTCTGCAGCTCAGAGACTACGAGGACATCATCGACCCCATCAAAGCTTATTCCCTGATAGGTACTGTATGTTTATATTAAGCTGGAAAAAGTAAATCAGTTTTTACTCAAAACATTTTAGCTTGGTGTTCCTTTGAGTCACCAGGACCTTGGATTCTGAAATCCTACTGGTGCAAAAACAGAAACTGTCACAGTGGCTATTAACCGAAAAAAAAAAAAAAAAAAAAAAAAAAAAAACACACACACACACTTTTAACTGTTATGGCATTATCCAGTGTAGCAGTGTAGTAAACAGTAATTGATGCATGTTCTAAAGCATTTATTAAGCTTATGAGAGGTACATCTTTAATTTTAATCCAGGCAAGAAGCATTTACGAACAGTTTTTATTCATTTCATGTGATATAAAATATATTCTTTTCAATCCCACCCTAGCTTTATCAAGTGCAGCAAACAGAGCGTTTGGTACATGTTCCAAGGCCTTCATTAAACTGGAGTCTATAGAGAGTGCTAGTCCTGAGGGAAAATCACAGTATGAGCAGCTGGCTTTGGATATCTTTACCAAGTAAGAATCTTGTCAGTATTTTATCAGTACATGTAGCAAAGTATTTTGAGTCATTATTGTTGTTGTTGTTGTTGTTGTTGTTTTTTTGCATTAAAGTTCTTCTCATTTTTTAGCAGTTTATTTATGAATTTAGTTACTGGTAGCTATTTTCATTGTTTTCATTCAGTGAGATGCATTGGTTGAGTGCGTATATATTAAAAAAAAAAATAATGCATCATTGTCTATTTCTTTACATAAACATATACCAAGAAACCAGCTTTTCATTTATTTATTTATTTATTTATTTATTTATTTATTTATTTATTTCTCTCTCTAGGCACAGTCCTAAGGACAGCAAGAACACAAGGTCAGATGCTGCCAACTATGCTAACCTAGTTGCAGAAGGGTAGGTTGCAACAAAAACTTTAAGACCCCATTTCCAGAGATTAGATCGATCTACTTTAGATCGACCTAACTCCCTGGGGGTTCACGCTAAATAGCTGTCAGCCGAGCGGGCACGGAAGTTAATTACCCCCTTACAGCTTGTAGTAGGCGGGACGGACATTTAAGCCCGATTATCTGACAGTAATCTAGTGAGACTCCCCGCGGGGATAGATCGATCTAAAAGCTCTGGGAATACAGCCTAAGACACATTTTCATACAGTGTGTACATTATGTATGATTTGATATTGTACTATAAATTCTCTCTCTCTCTCTCTCTCTCCCCTGTGTGCACTCATACACGCTTTGTAAATGACACAATTTCAGAAATTACACTCAATTAATAATTTTGTGACTGATGATATGTTATAGCATGTAGTCTGTCAGTTAATGCAACTATAGAATTTCTTAGTCAGATATGTTTTGGATAAATTTTGATTTCTTTAATGACTGTGATATTTTTTCCCAGGGACCCCAAGTTACCAGTGTGCATTGCGACAGGTCGTACGTTAGTGGATTACCAGTTCTGGGTGTGCAACACATGCAAGCACTGTGCTTACGAGCAGGAGGTGCAGAGTCGTAATTTCTGTCCCCTCTGTCACAGTCCAATGTGAAGACAATGACGACTGCGAATAGAATTTCTGAAGTCATTACAAATGTGATACATATAACATACTTAAAGGAGAAGAATTGTTTTAACTGTGACTTAAATGTATTCTTAAATAGAATGAACAATTGCTTTCAGCATTACCAAAATTTTGGACTGTAAAAGATGAGCTTTTGAAAAGACAGATATTGGATATTTTTCTAGTACGAAAGTGATGCTAATGTGTTTTCTCAGAATTTCCTCAATTTTGTACATGTGTATTTGATAAATGAGGTATATGATTGATAGGATCATCTGTAAAAGATGTTCATGTGAAATTGATTTTTTTTTCTGAAATCATATAAAAAATAATCATATTTTAAGATTGAATTACTGTTATTGCAGGTTTATCATTTCCGTCCTCTAAACTATTAATATTAGGCTATCACCTTTCCATAGTCAAATGATGTCAAAAGAAGATTTCACATAACAGATTGATTTTATTTTATTTAAAGTATATTTTAAACAGGAATTTACTTTGTGTATTTGATATTAAAAAGAAAATCTTGAAATCTTGAAAAATCTGCAGATTAATTCCAGTGTGCAGAGAACTGTTTATTGGTACAAAGAGAAGCATTCTTCATTATCCTAAATTATTCTGCACCTTTAAAAAAGGCATTTTGTTCAAGATTCAGAAGTAATTTGATTATTCAGAAAATATTATGAAATAGTTTTAACTAATTCAAATAGTAATTTTGGTCGTCTTCAAACCACTCATTCTTTTGAAATGTATATTTAACCATTATTATTATTATTATTATTATAAGTTTATTTATTTTCATTATTAATTATCAAAAAATAAACTGGCACAATCTGTAATTTACTTGTACATTGAAATTTTAATTTTCAGAGAAGAATACAACTTTGTAACTATGGAGACTTTGATGACATGTAAGATGGCATATTAGATTGTATAGGATTAAAATTATGTGTGGCGTTTTTCAATGTAAAATAAAATTTCAGAAGGATCTTGTCTCAGTTGTAATAGTTGTAATTGTGAAAAAAAAATGCTTTTGTGTAGTATGTTTCTTAAACTATGGATAAATCTTAAGCATGTAAGAGTTTGAGGATAAAGAAATGAACTAAAACGGTAAATCTCTTGTACTTGTCGAAGGTTTAATGCAACTACTAATAACACGATTTTTCTCAACCGCTCACCTAATGCATTATATAACTCGAGCATCTCGGCGGCTTAAGACTGCAATAAAAACTGATTAGTCAGAACTAAATTTAGATGATATATGCAAATGAATAAAATATGAGATTAGAAAATTAGTAATAGGGATCGTTAAACAACAAAACATATTTGCATAGAATGTTTTATAAAAGGCATCACGTTGGATATTACAGGAAAAATCTCGAAAACGCCACTTAACCTTTACCTCGTCTTCTAAATTAGTTGTTTCAAGTAAGTTCGTGAGAGTTTTGTTTAAGTAAACGAGGGTCGTTCAGCACCGCTTGAATAAAATGCAGGTCTTTTTCCTTAATTCTTTCTATCTTTACTTTCATTCATTTTCATCTCAACCTAATTTTTAGCATATTTAATGTACAGCCATTTTTAAGAATAACTGTAGAGAATTGGAAAATTTTAACCAGCCGAATACATTTCGTGCCCCCCCCCCACCTACCCCTGAAAAACTTCGTAAGTTTTCGATCACAGGGAAGTTTCCCGTCACAGAATTTATTTCATAAAGTAGAAGTGTCGTTTTCTTTTTAATATAGTTTTTCCTTCTTATCTGTGGGAAGTTTTGCCAAACGACTCGGTGATATTACCTTACATGTACTGTTTGCCTCTGAAGGAAATGCTTCTAAAAATGGAAGCTTATTTCACCACTAATGCCCTATTAATTATTTTATCTGTAAGGCGATTCTTTTTAAAACTCCTTTCTTGTAATATTCTAGATGAATGAAAGAAAGACTCATCAAATCTTACAAGTTTTATTAATAACGCTACACTAAACCCTCCCTTTAAATTCAAAGAAAGCAACGCTACTTATCTGTCCTCATTAGAACAAAAGATTTAGGTACATTTGGATAAACTATATACAAAACGTTTTCTCCCAGCGTTCGCGAAATAGCACATATTAAGTCGATGCTTTGGTTACCTCCGTCGCCACATAAAAGATTTATCTTATCATCAAGGAGTGATCTAAACGTTACTAAGGAATGGGGTTAGAAAGGATTAAAGTTAGGTTTAATACGTTGTGCAACGCACGCGCCAGCGTTTCCATTACAGATAAGTCCGATAACGGGGAACTATTTTAAGTGAACCAACGTGACAGTTGATATTATTAGCCCTGAAACAGGTGCGACGGGCAGAAATATTCTTATTTACTGATTCGTGTACGGGATAATTATTTTTTCATTGTATCGTTTTCGGTAATTTGTGATTTATGATTTATTTTTCTCTAACATAACGTGGACTTCTAAGTTCGCAGAGTTAGCCTGAAAAAAAATCTTTATAGGTTTTAGATGTTGTGGCTACTGGGAGAAATTTTCTGATAACCGCTATCAATTCTTGATGGACGACGGCCGTTATAAATGTCTGGAAGTTGTAACGATGAAATATTTCATGGACTGACGACGCATTCGACAGTGAAGGAAGACGCCAAAAAATTAGAAGTGTCGCATTTTGACTGCGTTTCAGAGACAATATTTTCCGCGGTGTGACTCGCATCCAAACAGCTGCGCAAGCTTCGCATTCTTCAATATTAAACATAATTCAGCACCGAGGAACAAAAATCGATACCACAATGTATACACGCCAAATGAGTTGGACAGCCATTCTCGTACGTCACTGGAACTGCTGATACTATTGGAGAAAAGGCAATTAATTATTTAAAGCCAGTTGCATACATTTTCGATCGAATGACGACACGACTTGTGCAGAAACCAGCCATCATCGCTGCGACGGTGGGTGAGAACTGGTCGGCGAAATGGACCGTTTTCCCGGCCGACGTTCCTGAGTTTTTGACCAAGAAAATCGGGCAGCTACCTCGCCATGGATAGAGTAGACAGGGTTGACTAACTGCAGATGAAATTAGCAGGTGGAATTCGGCCATATTGAAGAGGACTTCGATTTTGTTTGGAGAGAGAGCGAGGCCTGTATTTGTGACTGGAATCGATAGGCCTACGAAGTAGGCAAGACGGATAGATAGATAGGCATTTGGAAAGAGAGAGAGAGCGAGAGAGACAGAGGACTCGAGAGAATGAGTCGGCGACCGTCTCTCCCTCCTATGCCGGATCTCAGCCATCTCTCAGAAGAAGAGAGACAGATTATTGAGTCCGTGCTCAACCGACAGAGAGAGGAAGAAGAGAAGGAACAGGAGCTCATCAGGTAATGAATCGCCCAGTTGATTTTTCCGAAACAGCCCGCCATGTTGTAAAGGAGTCCCGTGTCGATTTCAGGGAGTGTTGGGGGAGGGGGAAGGGGAAAATAAACTGCAAGCGTCTTAATTCTGTCTGCGATTCATCTCCTGAAGGTTTGCACGTATATATGTGGTAAATTGTGTTAAACATTTAAGCTTCATAATGTTGAAACTGGCCTGATATTTCCTTCTGTCAGGGTCAGCCACTGCATCGCTCTTATCTTATAACAGGTGGCATTAACGGAGAAAATGTCATGACTTCCGCAAAGGAGAGATATTTTTGAGGTCCGTGTTTTTAATTTGACAGGCGTGAATTTTGCACATTTAGAATTTATGCGGCAAAAAATAGAACCTCTGTTTTTGTAAAGAATGCTCACCTTATTTGACAATAAAGGCAGGCTTCTGTAGGAGGCATACGTAATTAACTTGAGGGGGGGGGGTTACAGGTAACTCGGAAACTGAATCTAGAGTAGCTATGAAAATAATTATGATAACAGGCAAAATGGCAGTGATATAAAATTCCCTCATTCCACATAGAATAACATTGATAACACAGTGCTAATGTAGAAGCAAACATGGTACACCAGCATTGCACATCCTATGTGTCATTTTTTCTGTGTACATTTAATACTTACTGACAGGTGAGTATAAACAGGTGAGTTTACAGGTAGACTGCCATTGTTTTGGTGGTGACAAAGCACATATTTATTCTAGCTACCAGCTGTCAAATATTTACTATATTATGAATATTCATGAACAGAATGCGGTCTCATTCATAAATTAGAGGGTGGAAGTAGGGCAGCAATTGACATGTTTTAGAGGTCAAGATAAATGTCACGTTTTTGATAGAGGGTTCAATGTCTGGTGACATTCTGTGTACATTTATTTATGTAGGGTTTCTTTCATAATATTTTTTTTCATGATTTATGTCACTTTAGGGCTCTGCTTCTTTCGTCAGTGCACCAACCCTCTTTCATCTTCCTGAGGCTCTTTCTCAAGAGCGCATGCACATACACACACATGCACACACACACACACACACACACTTCTCTTAAATCCACAAATACTCATATATCGTATATACACAGGAATGCACGTGCACACACACACACACACACATTTCTCTATCTCAGGTACATACATAGAGGGGATGAACACACGTGTGAATATACGTATGGACGTGTGTTCACCCCCTCCCACTATTCACACATAGCGATGATCACTTCTGTAAATATGGAAAAATGGCCTACTTTTATCCAGACTAATCAAATGCAACAGCATCATCCTGCGTGACTTGCATTACTCGATCTCCTCTTACAATTTTAAAATGTCTGTATTTTATCATTTCTTTTTCCCTTTTTTTTTATCCTTTTTTTTTTCGAAAGAGGCCACTCCAATTCCCCATGCCTTAATATGAAATATGACTATGCCCACTTCAAAGGGAGAAAATATCAACCCATTTCCTATGTAGCATGTTACATTTATTGATCAGCCCACACAGAATAATGTTCCATCCTCTGCAACTGATCTATTATTAGGATTTTTTTATTCCCTGTAAAAATGGCGATGAATTGAAATCCCACTTGCCCCGAACAGGTAATAAATGTACTAGGGAACAGGTGGCTGATGGAATCAAGGCTTTCAATATGGAGGAATTAATACCGTTTTGAATACCTTGGAAATATAGTCGTTATTGTGGAGTAATTGCATTTTCTGGTTAATGTGAAGTAATATGTTCGTATCAAGAATGATTTAGGGAGAAAATGGACTGATTGAAGTCACCAGACAATTACCGGATCACGTAATGCATGATAGATGTGTTTACATCAGGACCAAGTTAGACAGGAAATAGACACATTTAATGGGGGCAGATAAAATAAACTGTTGAAAATAGAAAAAAATACAAGTAAGAAATGACCCCCTTGCTTGTTTCACTCTTATTCTCACCTGGTAAATCCTGCTCTTGAAAACGCTAGACATATTCTAATTTTATATAAGAAAAAAATTATTGTGGGAGCATGTTTATTGTAGATGTGTAGCTCAGTATGTTGATTTTGGCTAGAATTATCAACAAAATTTTGCTATGTTTACATTTTATACCTATAGAAAGGGCATAGATGACTTCCCACCTTCATCTCTCCTCTCCCCCCACCTTTATGCATTCTCTATAGTATTAAATTTTAAAATCATATCTCAGACTGAGTCTTAATTGGCTTAGATTGTTTCCAGGCCAAAATTCAGTTTGGTGAATCCCAGTCAGTAAATTGGTTGCCTTTGATGTAACCCCCTATAGTAGCCCTCTCTCTTTTGAAATTGTTTTTGCTTCTGATTTAACCCCCAAATATACCCTAGATTTCTTTAGTGATCCCCAGACTGAAATTTAGTTAACCACCAAAGAAGAGACTCCCAAAGTGAGCCTCAGTGTTTTAAAACCAGATCTCTTCAGTGATCCCAAGACTGAAACTCAGCTAATCTAAAGATGAGACCCCAAAGTGACCCTCAGTTTTTTTTTAAACAAGACCCCTTTAGTGATTCCTAGACTAAAATTAAAACAATTAGCTTAGACAAGACCTTCAAAGTTAGCCTTATGACTACTCAGTATTTTGAAACCAGACCCCGTCAGTGGTCCCAATAAGACCGAAATTCATACAATTAGCTTTGACAAGACCCCCAAAGTGAGCCTCAGTATTTTGAAACCAGACCCTGTCAGTGGTCCCAAGACCAAAATTCACACAATTATAGCCTACTAGGAGATGAGACCCCCAAAGTGAGCCTCAGTATTTTGAAACCAGACCCCTTCAGTAGCCCCAAGACTGAAATTTACACAATATTATAGCTTAGCTGAGACTCCCAGAGTAAGCCTCGGTAATTTGAAATCAGACCCCTTTAGTAATCCCAGGAATAAATTTCTCACAAATAGCTTTGACGAGACCCCCAAAGTGAGCCTCAGTATTTAGAAACCAGACCCCTTTAGTGGTCCCTAGACTGAAATTCACACAATTAGTTTTGACGAGACCCCCAACAGTAAGCCTCAGTATTTTGAAACCATACCCCTTCATCACACAATTAGCTTTGACAAGACCCCCAAAGTGAGCCTCAGTATTTTGAAACCAGACCCCATACCCCAGATATGATGGCACAACACATGCTTGTAGGTAACTTCATAAGCATTGATCTGTATAATGGGTTTCTAGAACTGTTCCCTGGAATGTTGGAATTATTCTCGATAACATTGGCGAGGTGTCAGCACCGTGAACTCGCCTCCTCCCCCAACATTTCACCGGAATGCTTGAAGTACAGATGAACTTTAAGTAACACATTGTGCATTATTATTTTTATGTCTGTATATATGGCAGGAATTAGAATTTTTTGATAAGGTTTTGCCCAGGTATATCCAAAAGCATTTACATGTAAAGAAAGTAAAATGTAATAACTATAAGTATTTTTCCTTTCTCTGTTTTTCTTTTGTTTGTTCGTTCTTTCATTCTTCAGAACTCAGTATATGCCTTTACCAAAAGATCATTGTGATTATTAGGAGAAGACTGGCTTGAAAAGAAAATGACAAGAAATACTAAAATTATTTGCATTTGTATAGAACTCATAATCTAAAATACAGCTAATCGCTTTTGTGCACTTTCCTTGATTTTGAAAAAAAAAAAGAAAAATAGGTTAAAAGACAAAAGAAATAATTTTTTTTTATTTGTGCATCACAGAAAGTGCATGGTGAGGTTGATGACAGATGCAGGTGACAGTTTTATGTACAGACACATCTGTGTTTGTACACAAAAAAGGTATTGGCTATAGTATAGCTAAACTGATGACTAGGTCATTTATAATGATAGAAAAAGACTCCTTCAAAAGAAAAAGACAAAAGCGAATATTCCCTGATGCGGAACATAATTTTCTCTTGGTAAAATAAAGAGAGAAACATTTGATTAACTTGGCTCATTTTTATTGATTGCATGGGAAAATGTTTTTTTGGTTAAAAAAAAAAGAAAATGCTGGAGTGCTTCCATTGTCTTGAGTGTTTATCTGAACGTAGCTTTCCTGGAAATGTGACTGGGAATCGCATAATTCTCAACCTTGTTGGTACCGTTACATTGTTATACTTGATCTATCTCTCCCGCTTGGCTGACATTTGAATAATAAATGATGATGTTTATTGCTTTGAACCACATTTTCCAGGCCAGGCTGTTCTTGCAACCTTGAGTGAAGTCAAGTAGACAAAAAGTCATTTGAATATACTGGAATCATTGTGTACCCAACAAAAAAGAGAAAATGCTAATAGATTGGTTATTCTATCTCAGGAAAGGATGAATTATGTTTACAAGACGAAGGGAACATTCAGATAAGCCATTCATGCTGGCTGGATTGATCTAACTCTGTTGGAGATTCTCCCAAAGTGCAATCACTGTAATTGGCTTAAATGTTTGACACACCTCTTCAAGTTGCTGCAGGGGTCTTGCAATTAAACCTCAGAGTCGGGATTTAATTCGTTTAATGACATGTGTGGCACGTGTGGCAGTGGGGTGACCATGATCAGCAGATAATGTGGCTCTGCTTTCATGTGGGGTCTGCCATATTTGATCCACAGATCAGTAGATCCCAGGGCAAACTGTTGTGAATACCCTCTGACATATCGCCATTTAAAAGTTTTAATCAAATTTTGGTCTGAAAAACTTGTCTCCAGGGACATTGTCTTGATCTGTCCAAGGCTCTAACTGACCGGTAATTGACCATTAGTCAGTTGGATTGGCTGGGCATCTGCTTGCAGTGACCACTGGGGAACAAATGGTTTTTGTACAGTCAGCGATACATACTTTCTTGTTATTTAATCATCTAAAAATACTTTTAACTTTTGTGTGTGTTATATGTTTTGTGTTGGGTTTGTCAGACATAGACTTTTTTCTGCAGAATCATAGAATTTCAAGGTTAATTCAAGTTTATTGGATCAAAGATAGTGTTCGGA